CACATGACTCATACAAACACAAATGAAAGCTGTGTAAATGGAGTGGAGTCTGTCAGCCAGCGGCAGCAACCACGTAACTGTCAACTGACAAAACAAACAACACTGTTGGTCTACAGGTCAAAAGCCAGGGTGGCTTCCTGAGCTGACAAATAGTTGCCTGCATAGACAGTAATGTTGACAATTTGATTTTATGTAAGTCTTATTCATTTCCCTTCACTTGTTTGTGTTTGTATGAGTCATGTGGTCGTGGTGATTTAAACGCCGCTCTCTCTGCTGAACTTCAGCAGTCAGTCCGGTGTATCTACTGGCTATGATAACTGTCTGATGGTGTGCAGACTCCATTCATCTGGTGCACCGCAGGCGCACACTAGACCCATTGGCTGAAGAGGGATGGATGGACGCTCACTTCTCTTTAGGAAGTCATTTACATTTAAGTCCAATGGAAACCACTGACTGTCACTGTGACAGAGGAAGGAACATACTGGAAACATTGCTGTCACTGATGATGTCACTGATGATGTCACTGATGGGCTTACCTGAGCAGGTGAGATTCAGGACGAAGGAAGAGGAAGATGATGTTGCACACTCCCTCAGAGCAGATCCAGAGTGAACACAGTCAGACCTGATCCTCCACACAGGTCTGTCTGAGGACTCCTTTCTCTCTCCTACAGAAACAGCAGAGCCACAGTCCAGATCTCTGCAGACAACACCTGCTGTCTTCAGGGTCCAGTCAGGGTAAAAGCCTATCACTGGTCTCCAGTCTCCCTGTTTCACCTCCAGTGTTCCTCCACAACGACTGTGTCCTCCCACCAACCTGACAGGCTCTGAACAGAAACCAGAGAGTCATCAGTAAAAGAACAAAGTGAGTTTCATTAGAAGAGAAATGAACCAAATCAAAGCTGCAGCTCCTCTTCTACCTGAGCAGGTGAGTCCAACAGCTTTGCCAGGTGAGCAGGTGTTTCTATCTGAGCCTGAGCTTCTACAGTCCAGGAGAGCAGACTCATGGCCTCCACACTGGAACTCTTTGGTCCACATTGGAGCCTCCACTTCTCCATAGAGCGCCCCCTGGAGGACTGAAGGAGCCCCACAGCCAAGCTCCCTACAGACCACCTCTGCATCCTGCTGGTCAAAGTCAGCTTCACACACTGAGGACCACCTCTGGTTAGACTTCACCTCCAGTCTGCCTGAGCACAGACTGGTCCCATCCACCAGCCTGACAGAGTCTGGAGAGATAATAGAAGATAAAATAGAGAGAGATAAAAGACACCAGACACTAAATAAAAAGATGTCATCAAACAACAATTCACTGATTCAAACTGGACTCACCACAATTCCAACATCACTTCATCATTAACAACAGAACACGTCTTTATAAGACCACAGACTACAGCTGTCTGACATCACATTTACATTTCATACTCTCTAACATACGTTATCCATTTCTCTGTCCATTTTTTTTTTCTGAGATGATCTGTAACCCACAATAAAAATGTGATCCCTAAAATCTCAAAGGGATAGGGTCTGGACTCTCTCCTCGTTAAAGCTATGGTCTACGTTTAGAAAGACGATGAGAAAGATTTGAAAAAAGCATGCCCCCTCCCACTCACACACCCCTCCATCTGTGCTCCATGATCCCTCCCCTCCGAGCTCATGTCCCCCTCCCCTTGGAGCCTCCTAACGACACACCCCCTCCCGCAAAGCAACGTACAGTTACATACAGCATACAGTTATCTATATCACAACATCCACAATAAAAACAAAATATTACCTGTACAACAAAAACTCTGTTGTATCAGCATCACTTTTCAGGCCCAGATCTTGCCAGAGCTTTCTCCATCGGTCAAAGGATGACCCGATGTTTACTCTGCTTTGAGCCCTCAATTTGTCGCATTTCCTCTTCGTTTCTGCCTTTTCAGAGGCAGACTTGCACTTCTTTTTGGCCTTTGCCAGTGGGGCAAGCAGAGGCCGCTTACTGCTGTCGCTCTCTTTATTTCCATATCGAAACTCGTGTAGCTGAATCGCTCAGGGCCTTACAAACTGCTCGTACTTTCAAATGTAGAGGGGGGTTGGGACGAGGCGGGACAAGGAGCAGAGGAGTGTCAGAATGGAGTGAGGGGATTGGACGGAGGGTAAGAGAGAGAGAGTTCAAATTTGAGCAAGGAGTAATTCCCATGCATACCAGATGGCTGTGATTGGTCAATTCTTTTGCAGGCCTGTAGCCGCCAGAGAGAATGGATTTTTTTTGGTTCCTTTTGCTCTTCACATTTAACCCTTTTCCACCAAAACAGCTCCAGTGCTGGTGCTGAGCTGGTGCTGGTTCTCAGTTGGTTCAACTTGCGAACCAGCTGAGAACCAATTTGTTTTTCCACGGCTCGAGGTGGTTAGGGTGCCACGTCATCGTGTCACTGTATATGTCAGTTACGTCGAACAACAACAAAAACGATGGCGGACCACATACTTGTGCAGCTGTTACTCCTGGCACTACGAGGCTTCATCGGCATCCAAACACGGCAGATACATCATATTTGTGCTGCTCGACAAGATTTGTATGGACGGCGATTACATTCCAGAAGACAGGTAATAACCTAACACGGTTTGTCTCTTAATAACACTGAACGTGACATTGTTATGTTAGCCTTTGTTGTAAGCTAACGTTAGCTGGCAGAGCACAGCTAATTCACAACGCAAATGTGTATGTGTACTTATTTAGACAACTGAGGGCTAGTTTATTGTAGTTTCAGCTGGACAAAAGAGGATGCTTAGCTCTGTGAAATGAACATTCTTGGTTTGTCACTTAATTTTCTTGGT